TTATCTATTTTGTCAACTTCTTATATGGTGTGCAACTTTTTACCCATACTGTATATTTTCTTTATATTTTACACGGATTACAAGGATTCAGATCCGGAAGATCCTGCGTAGACGCCATATTTGTACTAAGACAAATCACAGAAAAGGCTATCGAGTACAATAAACCAGCATATCTAAGTTTTATAGACCTGACATTCCTGACAAAGGCTTTCGATCGAATCCAAGTCGAAGACATCTTACATCTACTCTATAAAAGAAACATACCAATCAATATTATACAAACCATCGAAAACATCTACCTCCAAAATCGAATACAGGCAAAGATAAATGGAAAACTAACACAGTGTATATGTGTATATTCAAGATTGAAAGCAAAACGGGCATAGGACGAAAGAAAAAATCTTGGCTACGAAACATCAGAGATTGGACCACACAAGAGGATATTAATTAATTCGTCAAGCCCAGAACAGAAAGAAACTTGATCGCCAACCTCAACAGACAAGGCATTTAGGATTAGGACATTAACAGAAAATTTATGCTGTGCGTTCAATTCGTAGTGTATTCACTTTTGGATTATTATCAAATAAATTAAAAATATTATTTTCCATATTAACGTTTTGTCTTTCATTACTTTCATATAGTCTTGCGGTTGAAAACTGGCAGTGTTTTCTGGAATAGCCGTATACCTTTCCAAAAGTTCGATAGCTTGATATTCATCGTTGAGAAAACCGCGTTTCATACTCTCTTGTCAGCTCTGTCGTTACCATCATAAAAACAGTACACATATACCATACCCGCATATTCTTCTTTGTTCAATAATTGATAAGGTACCTATAACATTAGTTCTTAATACAGAAATATTGTATAAAAACACAAAGAAATTATTCAATGCAATAAAAATGAAAGAACATTTAGTATTTTTGACAGTAATTAGATTAGTGAAAATAAATGACAATAACCATATCCATTTAACAAAGAAATCCTGTCATTGTCACACTTAGTTAATAAAATTTGTAGAGATAGGCGAATGGTAAAATATTAATTTTACTTTTAGTATTGTAGCTTGTTCAGGCATAATATTTCAAAAATATTAAGTTTTTGGTGGTGGTGACTTTGAATAACTACTTTAGTTTTGATAATAGTTATTTTTCGGCAAATTTTCGATGTTTTTTTTTATTTTTTAGATACTTCGTTGATTAAAGTTATGTATATTTTTGTGGACTCTGAACAATAATAACACTGGATGATAAAAGGTTTTATTACCTAATACAAGCTTGCATAAATGTAACATATATTTAAGTACTAAAAAACATTAACCATTAATGACTTATACCTACTAATCACTACAAAATTAGCCAGAAGATACTTGAGACTTTTAATTATCGTCCAAAGTTCAGAATTCGGGGAGTCAAAGCCGGTAAGTCTTCATATGTGGAAAGATTTTTTTAAAACTCCTAAAGTGATTCTGATATATACAGTACTAAGTCCATCAGGTGTTTTTCTCGTCTATCGTTATAGGTACATCCTTGTTATAAGCCCCCTTGGGTAATAAATTTGTAGATGCTTTTCTCCTCGTTTTTAAATGTAAACAGCTAAAGAAATTATCTAGTTGAGCCCAGTCATAAGGATGTTCTATTTGGCTACTAATTTTTTTATTTTTATTTGTCTTTTAGACTATGATTAATCGCAAATTTCTATATAATAATAATAATATTAATAATATCTTAATAGCAGCAGCAGGGATACCTGCCATGGAACAAAAACTGACACCTGGCAGTAGGTATAAAATGTACACCCATGATAATGGATGAATATAATAATTTATGTTTGGGGTCGCTGCCTGGGGATCTAGGGGCTGTCAGGCACTTGCTGCCACTGAATATAAGGAGCGGCATGACTCAGTAGAAGAGATCCTTCATCAAGAGATAGCTATCAAACTGGAAATTCTTCAAACAAACCATCTTTCATATTATCAATACGTTCGTGAGAGTATTCTTGAGAATGACAACTACAAGCTATACTAGGACCGCACTGTGCACACAGACCAAACAGTGGCACATAATAGACCAGATCTCATACTAGTTAATAAACTAAAGAGAAAAACAACATTAAGTAATGTGGCGATACCCAACAACAATAATCATCGTGTTAGACAGAACGAAAAATCGTCAAGTACAGGGATCTGGAAATTCAAATACGAAGAGAGTGGAGAATGGAAAGTACCCAGACAATATTTATTATTTTCTCTACTACTAGAGTCAGTCCAAAGAACGCCCTAGAAAACATAAAAAAGCTAGGTCTGAATGAACATCTCTACAAGACCATGAAGAAAGCTGTATTAATCTCAACGTCCAGATGTGTACGAAGATTTTTTGGGGGATACTCTAGCATACAAAGTCACCTAGAGCTTGACAACACGGAACGAGTCCCATGAGACCTCAATCCTTTTGATACCGTAGGCATATGTGATGAGTACAGAAGTATAGAGATCTAGAAACAAAAATCAGGAGACAATGGAGAATGGAAAGTACCCAGACAGTACCTATTATTCTATCTATTACTGGTGTTAATCCTAAAAATCTCTTAGCGAACATAAAACAGCTGGGTCTAAATGAACATCCTTATAAGGCCATACAGAAAGCTGTACACCTCGAGACGTCCAGATGTGTCCGAAAATTTTTGTGAGAAACCTATTTGAGAACATGATACCTATCTTTTATCTATATTTTTATTTTGCTAAATTAAGCCTACAATAGAATATGTAACAGGTATTTTTTTATATAATAAAGTCGAGTGCATAGATATGTATCATATTTTTGTCGATTTTAAGACGGCATATGACAGTGTCTTAAGACCAAGTCTTTACAACGCTATGAATGAGTTAGGAATTCCAGAAAAAACTCATATGTTTGATAAAAGTGACAATGGCGAAGATGCTCTTAGCGGTAAAAATTCAAAATGACTCGTCAACCCCATTTGAAATACATAGGAGGTTAAGGCAGGGAGATGCGCTGGCGTGTCAGCTTTTTAATGTCGCCTTAGAAAAAGTTGTACGAGACGCTAATTTAGATAGCAGGGGAACAATATTTAATAGATCAACCCAAATTCTAGCATATGCAGACGACGTGGACTTTATAACAAGAACTAGGGCGAGAACTGCGGAAATCCTAACCGAGCTAGTAGCAGCAGCAGAACGAACGGGATTACATATAAATCAAAATAAAACCAAATTCATGGCGACTAACAGAAACACAAGAGCTGGAAATGTTGACGCAAATTTAATCATCAATGACCAAAACTTCGAAGCAGTCAAAGAGTTTATATATCTAGGGACATCGGTTAACCCCAATAATAATACATCTGAGGAAATAAAAAGGCGAATAATAATTGCAAACAGGTGTTATCATGGTCTATCAAAGTGTTTAGCTAACAAACATCTGTCACAAAAAACTCGTATAAGGCTGTATAGAACACTGATAGTCCCGTTCTCACATATGGATCAGAGGCATGGACGCTAACTAAATGAGATGAATCCGCTCTATCGATTTTTGAAAGAAAGGTGGTATGCAAGATATTTGGAGCGGTCTGTGAGAACGGAATATGGAGGCGTAGATATAACTTTGAACTGCAAAATATCTATAAGCATACGTTTGGTGGTAAAGATATTATCAATATAATTAAGCGAAACCACCAGCAGTGGACAGGACATATAGCCCGGGCCCCTGAATCGAACATGATAAAAAAGATTTTAACAGCGCATCCCGTGGGAATGAGAAGACGGGGAAGACCAAAATTGAGGTGGATGGATGGGGTAACACAAGATGCGGAGAAGATTGGAGTCGGCAACTGGAAAATGCAAAAAGGGACAGAACAGAATGGCGTAGAAAGCTTGAGAAGGTCGAGGCCCTCTAAGTGCTGTAGCACCAAGATGATGACGAAAGTGAGTTCATATAATTTCCTATTGGTATCCATCATTTTTACCTTTGGCACTCTCCCAGAGGGTGTAATACTGGATAATTTCAATTATATGTAAACAGCTTTCTTTCGATAGAACAGAGACAACTACTTTGTAATAAAAATTAGGGATACTTACCCACATAGTATACATATTTATAAAAGACAAATGTATTTTGCAAGAATTCCCTGATTGAAATCAAGTTAAGTACCTACCTATGTGTGTCCGAGTCCGTACTTCATTAACCATTAACCTTATTTTGTATGCAAAGTCATTGAATAACACTTTGTACGAAATCATGATACTATGACTATAAGATAAGATATTGCGCATGTTTTTGTGACGTCATTGGAGACTTGCACGTTCGAAATGTCAGTTTTTGTATATATCAATAAATAATCTTTAATAAATAGTTTGGAGATATCCTTATGTGTACGATTATTGTAATTATTAAACCTCTTAACTTATTTTCGTCTAGTAATTTCATCACAGAATGCATATAAATCTCATTTAACTTTAACAAGAATTCAAATTCTAGTCTCCAATGACGGCATGCGCGAACCCGACCGATTTTGAGCTACGGGATGATCCTATCTTGTTATTCATAGCAAAGAATATAGGCGCTTAATATAGCTTAATATAGCAAAGAATATAGACGCATAGCAAAGAATATAGACGCTAAGCGTCTATATTCTTTGTTCATAGTATCATGTACGAAATGAAATAATTATTGAATAGTATTTCTCATCCCAAAAAATCGTTTAGTACATAATATATTCTAAAAACAGTTCATATATGACACCAAAATAGTTTGCACACTATTTCAGAAAGATTTCTATTAAGGTTTTTTCCTTTCTCTATAGATGTCTGGATATAACTTATTATGGGTTGGAAAATTTAATTTAAAAGGTAGACATAAATATAAATATAATTTTAACAAAAACAGAATTACAAAGAACGTATGATAATGTTCTTATGTACTATTATACTATTTACAGAAACATTGTAATTTTCACTGAATAATTAATTACATATTATACAATGGCTATTCAGGTTCCGCAGTAGCGCCATCTGTGACTGAAGCGACGAAACTGGGGTTGTCGTAATGTTTGCTTGAATTATTTTCCACCACTACAACTACATCTTTAGGAAGTTCCCAATGTGCGGCGTCGCTGTATTCTAATAGTGTAGGAAGTGTTTTGGTGACACTTAAAATACATCCTAAAACAATAAAATAAAAATTAGTATATTATGTATCAATTAAAAATAGAGTATATTTATAACAAATTAGTCATAAAGTAACATATAAAAATAAAAAGGTATGCTTTTCATAAAAAGGATGATAGGTATGGTAAATTTTGAAAATTTCTCTTGTATGTAATGTTGCTGTATATTCGGTTTATGTATATTGTATCAAAGAATATAGACGCTTATAAGCGTCTATATTCTTTGATTGTATTTATTATATACAGGATGAGTCACCACTAACGGTACGGAAGATTACAGCAAAAGGGTAAAAGATTAAAAAAAAATTTTACATAAGTAATTTGTACGTTCATAAAAGCTATATTTTAAAATTATTTTGAAATATACATAGCCCAGGCAGTGGGGGACAAAGTACTCTGTAATCCAGGAATTTATGTAATGTGGCCTAGTTTATAAAGGGCAACCTCAGGAGCAATCCCCGATTCATTCCACAAAACATTTTTGGTTATTGTTTATTTATGAGCGTTTATAGGTGCAAAATTCGTATTTTTTGAGTTTTTTTCATTTTTGAAGTTATTCTTCTATACGCACGGTCGGCGTGCGTATATAATTATTATATAATATAATATGTATTATATGCAAAAGTGCATTCTTGGCTATGAGCTCTGTGTTCAAAAGCCATGACCTCACCCTGAAAACAAAAATAAGGCTCCTTAAATGTTACGTGTAAGTGCTTCTGTATGGAGTAGAAACGTAGACATTGAAGGTAGAAACTCTATCAAAACTTCAGGCGTTTGAATTATGGGTATACAAAAGAATCCTGAAGATACCACGGACAGACAAAGTCATAAATGAAGAAGTACTGCGGAGGATGAACACAACCGCGGATTTGGTCAAAATTGTGAAGAGCCGCAAGCTGTAGTGCTTGGGACATATAATGAGAAATCAAGGAAGATAAAAAGCTAGTCCAATGCATTTTGCAGGGTAAAATTGAAGAAAAAAGTGCCCCAGGACGAAGAAGAATATCCTGGCGTGCTAACCTGAGAGCATGATATAGAAAGACCTCAACACAGCTATTTCGTATAGCAAATAACAAAATCATCATATCCAGAATGATCGCCAACGTTCGGAACGGACAGGCACCCTAAGAAGAATAATATGTATTAATATTATTATTTATGTGATATGTTTTGTATTATTTATTAAACGTGTATAATTATTTTAGGCTTTTGTATTTCAAAATAATCGCTGTTTGACCGAGAACTGTCAATTTTGAACTCCGTTAGTGTCATATCTAATTGGCAAATCCTTTACTTGTTTGGTTCATACGCTGGTGTTTGTAAGTTCGAATCCCAATATGAATTTTCTTTTTTATTTTTGTTACATTTAAAAACCTCACGGTTATCTTATTAAATATATGTAACATACGCAAAAATGCTAAATTTTAAAATAAAATGAAAATCTACAACATAATCCGAGTTATTGGATTTTTATTTTTATCTTTGTAAAGTAAGTTTTTAAATTTTATTTTTCGCTATAACTTTCATGTTTGTAAACATTTATATATAAAAATTTACAGCTGGGTACTATTTAATATCTGAAATTATAATTTGATGAATACTTTGATATAGCTAATAGAGGGCGCCACATATGCCACATACGTGGCATAAATTTGTACTTAACTTTTTTGTTCTTAAGTTACCGGTATTTAAAATAAAAAATATTAAAGATGCATTATTTTAACAAAAAACAAGGTATACTTATTAATAACTTCAAAACTCAATAGTTTTCGAGATAATCGCATTTTACAAATCAACTGCATAATTCTGATTTAACGCAATTACTCCATGCAATGGAAGAAAAATAGATAAAAACATCAATACTTCTGAATTTTGTTATAAAATACCGTAATAAAGTCAATAATTAACGAAATATTAAATAAAATAAATATATCAGCAGGATAATTAACATTAATAGGATTTGATAAAATGACAGAATAATTGGATTTTACATCAAACATTTTATTTTAATTTGTATTAAATTAAAGTCATAATCAAACATTTTATTTACAAACCAAATTAAGAAATAGTTAAACTAAATAACATTAAACTTTTTGTTAAAGTAAGTGTTCAGTATGTCCACCATTTTCTTTAATTCATTTGTCAATACATTCCATAAAATATCGTCTCATATTAAATAGCGTCAATTTTTTGAAATGTTTATGAATTAAATAATTATATTAATATCTCACCATAAGAATATGACTACCATAAACAATCCAACGTTCAGGAAAGTTTAAAGAAGTATTTAAATACTGTCTCACTCCGCTTTCTCTGTAATGTAATGGTGTACCATCTTGTAGAAACCACATATTTCGCCCTAATTTTGATGACAATTCTTCCAATAAATCAATAAAATCATTTTGTAAAGAATGTAAATAAATCTCACCATTCAAATTGAAAGGTAATTCGCATATCTGTAAAACATCATTCAAAATTGATATTTAAAATGCATGTCCTATGGTTTGGAACCATTGATAATTATTTTTTACGGATATGCGAATTATCTTGCAATTTGAATAACGAGATTTATTTACATTTTTTATAAAATGATTTTATTGATATATTGAAAGAATTGTCATCAAATTTAAGGCGAAATATGTGGTTTCTACAAGATGGTAAACCATTACATTACAGAAAAAGCGGAGTGAGACAGTATTTAAATACAACTTTCCTGAACGTTGGATTGTTCATGGTAGTAATATTCTTGTGGTGAGATATTAATATAATTATTTAATTCATAAACATTTTAAAAAATTATTTATTATTATACTTATAACACTTATAATAAATACTGCAGCAGTTTCTTCAGAACCAATGACGCTATTTAATATGAGACGATATTTTATGGAATGTATTGACAACTGAATTAAAGAAAATGATGGACATAGTGAACACTTACTTTAACAAAAAGTTTAATTTTATTTACTTTAACTATTTCTTAATTTGATTTGTTAATAAAATGTTTTGATTATGACTTTAATTTAATACAAAACATAAAATGTTTGATGTAAAATCCAATTATTCTGTTATTTTAACAAATACTATTATTAATTATCCTGCTGATATATTTATTTTATTTAATAATTCATTAACTATTAACTTTATTAAAGGTATTTTATACCAAAATTCAGAAGTATTGATGTTTTTCTTTAATTTTCTTTCATTGCCTGAGTAATTGCGATAAATCAGAATTATGTAGTTGATTTCTAAATTGCGATTATCTCGAAAACTGTTGAGTTTTGAAGGTATTAGCAAGTATACCTTTTTTTTGTTAAAATAACGTATCTTTAATATTTTTTATTAAAAATATCGGTAAATTAAAGAGCAAAAAAGTTACGTGCAAATTTATGCTACATATGTGGCATATGTGGCGCTCTCTATCAGCTACATCAAAGTATACATCAAATTATAATTACTGAAAAAAAAATTAATAAAATTTGAAATTTCCAATTTAACACCCTGTATCTTTCTTAATATCAACATTTTATTAAATCAACTTGACTTAAATCGTAATATTTTAAAGTGTAGAATCTACGGTTTCTTTTTGTACAATTACTTAAGGACCACCCTGTATATATATATATATATATATATATATATATATATATATATATATATTGGTACTTTTAAATACTTATGAATAGTACTTTTAATTTATATTGTATTATTATATTGAATTATGTTGCAGTATATTTATTGTATTGTAATTTTTATATTAACAACAAAATAAACAATGAATTTTACGGCAGAGTTTGTGTAAAATTTTTTTTTGCATTCAACTCCTTTTATACATATATAAAAATAAAAATATATATTTTCATTAAAATATTGATACAATGAAGATCAATAATTAATGCTCATATAATTGCAAAAAAAAATGGTAGAGGGCTAATTCTTCTTTCATCCTCTTCCTAAAGCCGTAAATTTTCATAATCTATTCGAAAATAATAAAAAAAAATTAACCCGTTAAAAACAATTATTAATGAAGTTGTAAAGTTGCAGTTATAAACGTTTAACGCTACAGCGCCCCCTATGTACCCTACAATATAGGTTTTTAAGTAGTAAATGATGCCAGATTCCTTTCTTAATTGTTAATAATAAAGCCTCTGTGATTTTTTAAAAAAATATGCTAACTCGGCTCCTATTGGTCGTAGAAAACTCTTTTTTTTAATTCTTCATCTCGAAGCCAGCTACAATAATTTGCAAATTAGAAATTTGTAGGGTACATAGGGGGCGCTACAGCTCTAAATGTTTATAACTGCAATTTTACAACTTTATAAATAATTGTTTTTAAGGGGTTAAAAATTTTTTTCATTATTTTCCAGTGGAATATTAAAATTTACGGCTTTAGGAAGAGAATTCAACAAGAATTAGCGTTCTACCATTTTTTTGGCAATCCTATGAGCATTCAAAGTTGAAGGTTGTGGGATAAACTAATTAACGTATCTCAGCAACAAATTAAGCGATCTAGGCCTACTACGGCTCATTCGATTCGTAATTTTATAGGCTTGAATGTAATATATTTGAAATAAAAAAAGCAATTTTGCAATATTACGTTTTTTTTAATTTTGACCTTAATTCGTCATTTTTGCAATAACAAATAAATTAAATGGAACGTATACCGGCTCAAATTGAAGGTCTTCTAGAGTATTTTCATAATCGATACAGAAATTACCTAGTACAACACTTAGTTTAGGCAAAAAATGAAAAAACTCCAAAAAATACGTATTTTACACCTATAAACGCTCATAAATAAACAATAACCAAAAATATTTTGTTTATGGTTATGGTAATTTAAATAATCATAATAGATTGACGAACACTATTTGACAAAAAACGAAAGAACCAGAGGTTTCTAATTTTGATATAAAATACTGTGGAAATTTCTGCAAAAACTGAAATATATTTTAAAAAGAAGTATTTTTCCGAAAACGAAACTACAATATAGTATTG